GTAACTAACAGTTGCGGAAATGTGACAGCGCAGGCCTAAATTCCGTTACTCTCTCTATAATGCCTTCTCTTAGCTTTTCTTGAAAGATGACATGATAACGGTAAGTTACTCTGGCGTTCCCTGTAAGATTTTGATCGTAAATCGCAGACGGCCAAGTGCCAAGCCATAATTAAGATGAAGTGCTTTTCCTTGCTCGGGACGCCACGATCGTTTCACTTCATAATCATAACGGCCTTCCGCGTCTCTTATAATTGAATTCGTGAAAAGCTGGTATGGTTCTTCATCTCCCTTACTGCCCATATCTGTAATGCCGATCTCCTCTGACAACCAGAACCGCTGCATATTATCTTCCTCCGGCAGCAGAGCTACAGCAGTGTACGTTTTTTCTCGTTGCATTATGCCCCAGTTGACCTAAACCTGCTATATTGTCCAGCGCAGTAGGAAAGACATGGAATCCGGAGCAATGTCGTTTGTGGAGTCACATTGATCAAGTCGAACAATTCGTCAATGCCGACCAATATGTCAGGCTGATGGTACTTTGTAGGGAGACGTTCATTTCGCAAACGACGTATTTTCACAGAACTGTTTGGAAACGTATTGTAAAGGTCGAGTTACTGCAGGAATAATGCTTGCCTGAAGCGGTTTCATTTTCCCATCCTTTCTTGTTATATAAGTGGTTGTTGATCTCTTGCTTGTAATTCTGATCAAATGAGGCCCCATGCAGAGAGGACTTAAGTCTGTTATTTCAATACAGTACAACGAACAACGTAACTTCAGCAGCAAAGACACAAACACCAGAATCCCAAATTATCATGCTTCTAGAAATTGAGCGACTAATTCTTGTCACAATTCCCCTTATCTTTCTTCTCTGAGGCTTCCGCTAACGACCGCGTGTGCAACCAGCCAAAACGCTCCGTTGAATCTTCAAGCTCCTGTACCACAACTCGTCCGCACTGCTCGTTCTTCCAGTTTGGAATGGCTTCTTGTCTTCCCCGACAGTCTTATCTCTTCCTCCCTCCTTGTGACTTTCCCCCGTCCCCTCTTCCCCCTCTCCCTGTAAACATTTCTTACAAACAAAAAAATGATCTGGCCTAAAGTACAATCCCGCACACAACTAATTAGGCGGCTAATACAATGCAAACATCGATCAATCACACTGTTCTTTCGCTTTCTTTCGCTGTCACGACACTGCTTTACTAGGCATCCCGATGACTTTGTGAAAAGGCTTAATTCACTGATTAACTCACTTCTACCCCCTTAACATCGGTCCCTTTTTTTATAGCTGATCAGCATGAGATCAAGTCATTTCCACCAACCGATTAGTTAGCCAGCATGGATAGCTGATACTCTTGGGATAGTTTGCCAGCATGGACAGCTGATGCTATCAAAAAATACTTTACAGTGGAAACTGGCGAATATTTCCGATTACTCACACCTGGCAGCTATGAAATTTATGTGACAGCAGACGGTTATGAGCCAGTAACCAGAAATGTAACTGTCACAAACGACAGTCAAACATCGGCAAAGATTGTGAATTTCGCTTTAATGCCAGAGCAGCTGGGAACCGTACATTCGTCTCAGGTATCACTCATTTTTAAAACTCGTGTAGGCAACATATTTATCAATGTCCTCTACATGCGAACCTGCAACTTCCTGGATATTAGATGACAACGGGTTTTTTATTCTACAAATCCCAGCGGATGAATTTTCAAGACATCTGATGAGATAAAAACGCACGATGGTGTGAGCAGCCTCGAATGCGTGGTAACAGGTAAGGGTTTTGAGTCGTGGGTACCTCTTTTTATACAAAAACAGGTCACTTGCTTCTTTTCAGGAGATTGATGTACCGCTCGACGAAATACTAGAAGAACTGCAATAGGTAACACAGGGCCTACTGTGGCACTGCAAACAAAACGGTGTCTAAACGAAACCAGTGATCTGTATTGTAAATTACGAAACTGTCGTTTATTCCCTTCTTTAGCACATCTTTCATCAGTTCGTTTACATCTACTACATCATGCACAAAGTTTTTACTTTTAAAATTCGTTTAGGAAGACTTCGTTCTTCGTTTCGTTTTTTCTATTCTATCAAGGGAATATCCCTTGATAGAAGAGAAAAAATTAAGGGGAAAGAAATTCG